TGATAGAATACTTTTAATGTAATTTTTAAAAGAAAATATGTGTGGTTGTCCATGTCCCAATTTATGTGGCACGTGTAAAGTTTTGACAATTAACCAAAATTTTAATACATTTTAAGATAAAATTTAAGTCGTTAAATTTTAAGTGATTTAAATTGTTGTATTATTTATTACAATTTATAATGCTTTTAAAGTAGTTTAAATATTGCACTATTTATTATGATTTATAACACTTTTTTTTTAATTTATGTCATATTATGGAATTTGAGAAGTTATTGAAATTTTTATATGATTTTAAAAATATTTTAAATTGTTAGCTATTGTGATTTGTAGTACTTTTTTTTTAACATAATTTTGAAAATAATATTTATTATTGTCTTTGTTCTAATGTATGTGGCAGATGCAGAATTTCAAATATTAACCCTTTTTTATATGTCTCTTTAATATATTAAGTTGTTAATTATTGTATTTTATAGTACATTTTGAACCTAATTTTTTAATAATATATGTTATTTGCCATGTCCCAATTCATGTGACATTAATTGATAGATTTGTTGGAGTCGAGAGATTTATTTTGTTAAATATTGTAATTTATAGTTTCTTTTTCGTCAATTTCAAACAATGTATGTTGTTAATTGATAGATTTTTTGGAGTGGACTATTTTTTTATTAATTATTGTAATTTATTGTTTCTTTTTCGTCAATTTCAAACAATATATGTTTATTATATAATCCATTTTATGTGGTACCAATAGAATTTTGAGAGTCAATTAAATTTTTTATATAAGTTTTAAATAATTAAGCTGTTAATTATTGTAATGTATAGTATTAGTTATTAGTTTTAAATATATTTAAATATTATATGTTAGGTTTTTTATCCTAATTTATATGGCATTGATAGAATTTAAAGTGTCAAATAATTGTTAATTATTCTAATAGATAATATGGAGTTTTTAAGTCATTTATAGTATAGTAATTAATATATAATATGTAGTATTTAAGTGGAAGGTGATGGGGCCCATTTATATAGTTTGATAAATATATTGGATATTAGTAGTGATTTATAGTATAGTAATTAATAATATATAATATGTAGTATTTAAGTGGAAGGTGGTGGGGGCCACATATATATTTTATATAGCAAGTATTGGACATTTGTAATGATTTTATTGGAACAATGGTAGTAAATCCTAGACTCTTCTAATATAGGAGAGGTGACAGCGCCTACGTGTCAGTGCCACAATTAATTGCTAATTTTTAAATTTTAAATTATCAACTAATCAAATATAATAATTTGTTTTTAAATAAAGAAAAGAAGTTACTATTTTAGAAGATAACAACGTTAAAATGAATAGTTACATTCTTGAATTTTGAGTTTTTTAAAAAATAATTAAATATAGATAATTAAAAATTGATTAAAAAAAAAGTTTTTTAAAAAATAATGACAACCCACGTCCTTTGAAAACAATTCTAAAAAGTATAGAGTGTGTTGTTCCTTTTTTTTTGGGTGGGTGAGGCGGGGGGGGGACTAAATAAAAAATCTGTTTTTTCTTTCAAAAAATAAAAAATACTCCTCATAGAAAAAACTACCCACGTTTTTTGAAAAACACATTTAATAATAATAATAATAATAATAATAATAATAATAATAATAATAATAATAATAATAATAATAATAATAATATATAATAATAATATAATAATAATAATAATAATAATTATTATTATTATTATTATTGTGGTGGGGCCCACTTATATATTTTATATAGTAAATATTGGACATTTGTAATGATTTTATTGGAACAATGGTAGTAAATCCTAGACTCTTCACAATTAATTGCTAATTTTTAAATTTTAAATTATCAACTAATCAAATATAATAATTTGTTTTTAAATAAAGAAAAGAAGTTACTATTTTAGAAGATAACAACGTTAAAATGAATAGTTACATTCTTGAATTTTGAGTTTTTTTTAAAATAATTAAATATAGATAATTAAAAATTGATTAAAAAAAAGTTTTTAAAAAAATAATGACAACCCACGTCCTTTGAAAACAATTCTAAAAAGTATAGATTGTGTTATTCCTTTTTTTTTGGGTTTGGGGGAGCGGGGGGACTAAATAAAAAATCTGTTTTTTCTTTCAAAAAATAAAAAATACTCCTCATAGAAAAAATTACCCACGTTTTCTGAAAAACACATATAATAATAAAATAATAATAATAATACATATATAATAATAATAATAATAATAATAATAATAATTATTATTATTATTATTATGGTGGGGCCCACTTATATATTTTATATAGTAAATAATGGACATTTGTAATGATTTTATTGGAACAATGGTAGTAAACCTAGACTCTTCTAATATATAGTAATAACTATATTATAAAAGAGAGTTTATACCCAAATATAATATATAATATTCAAAATTGGACTTTTTCCGATCTTCAATATTATATATTATACTTGTGGGACTTTTAAAAGCTTTTATAATATAGTAGAATATATATATATATATATATATATATATATATATATATATATATATATATGTGTGTGTGTGTGTGTGTGTGGTGTGTGTGTGTGTGTGTGTGACAAATGGAAAAGTCCCAATATATCATTTACAAATGACTTAAAAAGCATTAAAAATTACAATAATTACCAATTTAAAATATTTAAAAGCTATATAATAAAATAGGTTGACTCTCAGAATTCTATCAGGCTCACATATATTGGGACAGAAAAAAAAGTCCCAATATATCATTTACAAATGACTTAAAAAGCATTAAAAATTACAACAATTACCAATTTAAAATATTTAAAAGCTATATAATAAAATAGGTTGACCCTCAGAATTCTATCAGGCTCACATATATTGGGATAGAAAATATAACACATATCATTTTAAAATTACCAAAAAAGTATTATAAATAATAATAATTAACAACTTAAAATATCTGAAAGACATTTTAAAAGGGTTAATTTTGTAATTTTATCAATATCACATAAATTAGGACAAAGTGACCAATAATGTACGTTATTTCAAAGTTACATAAAATTTTTATAAATCACAATAATTAATAACTTAAAACATTTTTTTTTTTAAATGAAAATTTGGATGACTCTCCAAATTTCATTTGTGTCACATAAATTGAGACAACAAAAATAACATATATTGGGTCCATTTTAATTTATTTGTCTTATTTTTTATATATATTTAAAAATTGCTTAAAAATACTATAAATCATGATAATTGACAACATAAAATATGTTTTGAAAATAATACAAAAAATTCCACTGATTCTTGAAGTGAATCTATCGTAAAAATACTATAAATCATGATAATTGACAACATAAAATATTTACAAAATGTTGTATGCGGATAGCCTTATTATGCCTTAAATAGCGTCAAAGAAAGTACATGTTTGTGATAAAAAAACTAATTCTTTTATCCACGCAAACAATCGCTTCAAAAACTCGGTTATTAACCCCAAAACATACCATTTATATTATTGGGCCCGTGCATAGAACGGGCAACATTATCTAGTATTAGAAAAAATTATTGGGTCGAATCTGGTTGGATCAATCCACGTGGATGACCTATGATCCATGACCCAAAAAAACTTATATATTAATTTAAGTAATCTATCCTTCACAAAATCACTTGAGATTAAGATAAATTAATTTATGCCATATTTCTTTCTTTTTTATTTTTCTAGGTTTTTATTCTTTGAAACATTTCACTATTTTAAATTTAATTTCTTGTAAGTTGTAAACCTTATCTTCAACATATATATTTTTTAAATTATAAGTTTTTTTATTTTTTATTTTTTATTATAAGTTGAGGGGTTGAAGTTTCATGTTGAAGGACAGCTAACACTAATCTTCCATGATATGTTGTTCCCCTCGTGGATCATGTTTTATAAGTATATACATAGGAGACGTTTGATTATGATTTATTTTTTTAAAGTTGAACTCTAAAAATTATGTTTAATCATAAAATTTTAAATTAGAATTTTTTAAGAACTTAAAAAAATAATTAAAAGGTGTATTAACTTTTTACACTTTAAATTACCGACAGAAGATAAAAAAAAACAATTCTAATTTGAATTTACGACACAAATACAATTATACAACTCTTATTTTCAAATATTATATTTTACTTTAAAAATAATAAAAAAATTGTTACCATAAAACATAATCCAACATCCATTTATAATAGCTTTCGGTACAACCAATTGAAAGAGAACACAATTTTATTTTAATAGGAATTGAGGTCATTTAGAAAACAATATTGGCATATTATTTCTGGAATTAAAAACTTTGGCTGGCTAGGAAAAAAAAATATTTGTTGGCATATCATTTCTAGACGTTAGAAAAACTTTGATCGACTAAAAACGGGGTATTTGTTGGCATATTATTATTTATGACGTGAGACAGAGTCACTAAACAACCTTGCATTGATGTCAATATTTTTAGACTATAGTTTCTAACTATTTTATTACCACTATCTTAATTATCAAAACTTTTTGCTAAATCGAAGATTGGTTCAATTGTTAACTGGACATATAATGACGGTAAAATATACATATTTTCCTCTCTCTAGATATGAATCATTTTCGAATTGATTACTTGAAATGTGAGTTTCATTAAATAGCTTTTTCCCATTAAACTTAATAATTAAAGCTTGATAAATATTTGAGGAAGACAATTCTAACTTTTGACAAATTTAAAACATCAAAACTGCCCAAATAATGCTTAAGAGACTCTTTTAAACCTACTATAAAAATAAAAAAAAAAAGATACTATTTTTTAAAATCATTTTTTCAGTAATGGCTAACAACCCAACCTAAACTTCTATGATATGTCGTGGATCATGTTTTATAATATTTATATAATAACATTTGGTGTAGCTAATTGAAATCTATATAAGGACTACCATTTCTAATAATTTTATCACCACTTTCTTTCAAAACTTTTTGTTAAGCCAAAAAAAATATGGGTCTGAAGGGTAAGTTGATTTCTTCAGTAGAGGTGAAGTGTGGAGGACATTTGGTTCACGATATTTTTCATGCCAAAACTCATCATATATGCAACATAAGCCCTAGTAAGGTCAAAAGTTTTGAGATTCATGAAGGTGAAACTGTAGATGTTGGTTCAATTGTTGAATGGACATATAATGATGGTAAAATATACACATTTCCCCTCTCTCTACATATGAATGATTTTTTTACATTTAGGTGTGTCTTATATTGTGAAAGTCCATTTCCAATTGGATATTTTTAGTAAAAATTTTTTTGATGGTCATATTACTTGCTTCAAAAGCTTATGTACTTTATAAGTTTTAATGGGTAACTTTTGTCTTTTATCTCTTATATTTTCGATTTTATTGATTGTAGATGGAAAAGATAAGATGTCAAAGCAAGTGATTGAAGCCGTCGATCATGAAACTAAAACAATCACTTGGAAAGTGATTGGTGGAGATCTATTAGAGCTGTACGATTCCTTCACTATTATCACATCATGTGACCATCATTGGACTACATGGACATTTTTGTACAAGAAGAAAACTGAAGACACACCAGAGCCTCTCGTTCTCCTGGCTTATGTCCTTCATGTGACAAAAGAAATCGAGAATCACCTTCTTAAGTAATAAAACATCGATGCTATTCAATGGCTCATAGCCATATTTATACATATGCAAAGTATATATATATGTATGTTTACACACATATATGTGTGTTTTTATGTGTGATACTGGCTAGCTAGCTATAGTGTGTGAAATAAAAAACATTTTGTTTCAAGAATATATTTCTTACTCCTTCCTTCTCAATTTATGTGGCACTTTTCATTTTTCGAGAGTCAAACAGTTTAAGTTTGAAATTTACGCATGAAATCTTCAATTTTTTTGAAATGAAATTTATATATTTGTAAACTAAAAAGTACTATAAGTCACAATAATTAATAATTCAAAATGTTTAAAAAATCTATGAAAAACTTACGGTCAAAGTTAGACTTGATTGAATTTCGAAATTCGAAAAGTGACACATAGAATGAGACAGAGGGAGTATGTTCCTTTCCTTCTAGGGATGTATTTTCAATGTTCAAAATATGGAAAAAATCGATTGAATTAATTGTTTTTTTGATTTTTCGATTTATTTGGTTGGTTTGCGATTAATATTTTTTTTGAAAAAGTTTGATTTTCAATTCAGTGATTGTTCTAGGCTTCTTGCTTATGATTGTTGTTAACCCATATTTTTTTAGGTTTAAAAATGGATATAGCACTGTAATGACCCGAAAAATGTTTTTTTTAGAAATTCCATAAAATTACCATTTTATCTTTTTTTGAATTATTTCTAAACAGTCGCTGAAGTTGGTTTGAGAATTTTAAACTATTCATTTAATTATGGTAATTAATTTATGAGTAATCTTAAATAATTTATTTTAATTGATGGTTAATGGGTCAAATTCATAATTTAATTATTAGCCTATATCACTTGACCCATGTAAAAATAATAATAATTAAAGGAAGAGGGTTAATATTATTTGGTCATACCTCAAACTGCAGGTAAAACTTAATTAAGTTCCAATTTAGTTTTATACATGTTGTGTATTGGGTGGGCATTCTTTAATAATATTGTATGGTATGTGTTACTTGGAGGATAGAGATTTTATAGATGGGTGTAGAAGCAAAATTGAATATTTCAATTTGCTGTTGTTAGTTGTTAACACAACGTGGGTCCTTAAGGTTTTTTGTTGACAAGTTAGTGGTGAAATAATTGTCAGTTAGGAAAAATTTATCATTGGCAAAGTAAGACTTGCATAATTGCTTTCTGTGTAGTTCCATTGTTAAGGTTATCGATTATTAGGTTTATTTTTATAAATTGAGAAATATTTGTTTTCCAACCTAGACTTTGTTCCATTATTAGTTGTATATTATTGGTGAAAAGGAATGAAAGTTGAAATTTAATGCAATTTTGTGTTTAAAAGTTTATGGGACAAATTGTAGTGGTGGAAGATGATTTTTAAGGTCACTAATTAAGGTAATGATGGCTTAATCATTGGTAGTAATTTTGGATTCCAACGTGCTGATGGTGTTGAGTTCTTAGTAGTAAGAATTAATAAGGTATATATTAGATAAAGTTGTCCAACAACAGTTGTCCACTATACTAAAAGTAGTTGTCCAGCAATATTTGTTAAATTAAAAAAATTAAGAGATACTTAACCTTTTGTGTCTATTTTACCCTTGCTAATACTACTCTATTTATCATTTAACACATTTTTTGAAATATTAAATTTAATAAAGTTAAAGAATAAATTAATAATATTACATCTATTATTTTTATTTTTTTAAGGGATACCAAATTAATAGTAAACCACTATTATTAGGCCAGGAGATTAATATAGATAGGTTAGAATGTTAATCAAGACATAAACAAAGTGTTTTTTTTCCTTTTTTTAAATAAAAGTGGGGGTTGTTAGTGAGATTGTCCAAACTTTAATTATTGTATTGGGAAGTGATACTTGGATTGACTATTCCTAGAACTAGCATAGTGTTTTTCATATTTGTCATTCAAATATTAATGCTCCTCATTTTAAAATTATTTTTTAAGTACATATTATAGGGCAAGCCAACATGCATATATATAGTCAATGTTTATTATGGACAGTGCAACCCAAAACATATTAATTGCCCAACTATTTTATATTATGTTCTACTAGTACATTTCCTATTGGCAAGTCATTTGGTCCATAAGATTCCTTTCAACACAACTTTTATTATTTTAAAATAAGAATCAACTTTTCTATATTATATTTCAATATATATAGTTCTAACAAATTAATAAATAGTTTTCTTTCTTTTGAGATTGGAAGGCTCAATTAATGCATAGTTGAGAGCTAGCAAGAATGTGTTCGAGTCAATCAAGTAATTATAATACACAATTTTCTTATAACTTATACTTTCTCTTTTTCACTTTTATTTGTTCACTTTAAATTTTACACTTTTTTTAAGAAATGATATTAATTATAACACTTATATTGATTGAGGTATAATCTTATGTCTTGAGAAATGAGTAATTAATATTAAGAGTAAAATGTGAATAAATATATTTTACTCTTGATATACGAAGAATGACAAGTAAAAACAAACATCTATTTTTAGTATAAATGACAAATAAAAATAAACAAATAAAAACATAGAGTATATTAGGTATGCAACATTTTAAATTACAAAATAAAATACAAAATTAATTTCATAAATAAATAACTTACCATATAATAAATATCAAACATAATATTACTTAGGGAAAAGGACAAATATACCCCTGAACTATCGTAAATGGTATGCAGATACCTTCCGTTATACTTTTGGGACATTGGTGCCCCTACCGTCCAAAAACTAAAGTATATGTGCCCTTCACTGTAACGGAAGACTAAATAGGGACACGTGACACAATCTTATCCGTCAATTCGATATTTAAAAAATGTCGGGTCGGTGGATAAGATTATTACACATGTATGTCCGTTAGTATAAAGGATATATATGCGCTAGTTTTTGGATTGCAGGGGCACCAATGTCCCAAAAGTATAACGGAAGGTATCTGCATACCGTTATGTGAGTTCTCTTACCGAAATAGTTATCAATGCAATATTAATATGACACAATTTGAGGCACTGTATGAAAGGGAATGCAGATTGTTCATAGGGTGATTTGAGGCTAGTGATGTGGAACCTTTGGGTGTTGATTTGGTTAGGAAAGCCTAGGAAATGGTGATGGGAAATCAAGCTAAGTTATTGACAGCCTATAGTAGGCAGTATGCGGACCACATGGTAAGAGACATAACCTTTCAGGTTGGGGAACAATAATTGTTTAATGTGTCACCCATTCAAGGAGTGATGCGTTTTAGTAAGAGGGACAAGCTTAGCCCTCACTATATTGGTCCATTTGAGATTCTTGACCGTGTGGGGGCTAATGGATTACAGGTTAGCACTACCTCCCAACTTGACTGGAGTTCATTTGATGTTTCATATGTCTATGCTAAAGATATACCATAGGGATAAAGATTATATCATCAAGTGAGATTTAATAGTGTTGGACAAGGACTTGTAGTATGAAGAGAAATCGATTGTGATTCTTGATCGGTATGTCCGTAAGTTTGGATAAAAGAAATCAGATCAGTAAAGGTCACATGGAAACATCATCTACTTCGGAGACCGCGAGAGACGTGCGAGGCAAGTACCTTCACTTGTTCGATGATTCATGTACTATACTTTTTTCTATTTTAACCTAGTTTTTCTTGTTTGATCACCTGGGAACGAGTGATGGGATAAACTGGTATTTGTTGTAACGACTTATTTTGATCGTTATGACTAGGTCAATGGTGAATGAAATCGGGCAAGAAAACTTTTCATTAGAGACCTAAAAATTCTAGGCTAGACCAGTTCAGACGAAATTCGAGCGAGGCGAAGTCTAGGGCCATCCGAGAATGGATGAGGCAAAATGTCTAGGCTTGATTTATAACTAAGAACCCGTAGGACATTATTACAAAATTGATTTTGGGTGAGTAAAACTCCTAGAATCAAACTTGGCATGAAAGAGATATAAGGGAGAAAGGTATGTCGAAAAATGGACTTTTTAGGAATTTTTGAGTCTCTAAAGTTATTAATCCGCTATAGCGGGCGGTAGGCCACTATAATGGGAGAGTGCATGCGCTATGGCGGGGTGACAATTGCTATAGCGGGGTAAGTCAGGATTTTACGCAAAAAAAGTCTCAAAACCTTTTATTTTATGCATTAATGTTTTTGAGTTTGAGAGGAGAAAATTAGGGCAATTTCTACCCAATTTTTCATCAAATTCATCGGTAAAGGTAAGTTCATTACTCCCCGACCTTGAAATTTAGAATCTAGGGTATTTCTCTTGGGGGAGGATTTTGATTTGATTTAGTGGTGGGAAAAAGCCTAGGGTCTGGTAAAATGATCATGAATTGGCCCGAGCTGGATTTGGGTATAAGTTGGATATATTTCGGCCATTTTTGATTGATTGTTATTTTTATTTATTGCTTTAGACCAAGAACAAGCCATGGCACCGAGAAAAGGGAAGGCTCGGATTCTTTAGAGCATTGAGGCTTAATTTGAAATAGGTATATAGTTGTATGTTTTCAAGTTTATGGATGTACACATGTCTACCACTTTATAGTATCACTTGTGTAATGCATGTTGGGCAAGACATAGAAAAACATATGAAATATCATCATGTTGATAATCTCATGCAGTGAACCTTTTTACTTTACTTATGGTTTTAAGTGTTATTGTTCATTGTGATTGTGATTGTGATTGTTTATGATTGTTTGGGATTGCTGGTTGGCTCAGGTACCACACCGATATATGAATAATAATGGTTGGCTCAATACCATACCTTGTAAGAATATTAATTCTAGTTGACTCGAATACCATGCCGATACACTAACAATTTGTGTGTGGGTTTCTTGAGAGGACCAGGTATGTGTATTTGTGGTTCCACGATAGGGTGGGGTTCTTGTAATTGTAATCATGTGGGACATGTTCTAGGTATTGGTTAATTCATGTTATTGTGACTGTGAGTCTATGTGATTGTGATTGTTGTTATATGTGTTGGCTAATGTTTACTATGTT